TATGAAACAACTGCATCTAAAACAAAACACACTACCATAATTTTTCTTGTGTACCGTAAAATTATTTTTGGTGTCTCAAAAAACACTAGTTCCTCTAAAAATATACTGCAAATTACTAGTTTCACTCTTATTTACAACACATGATGAAAGAACCCATCTTTTTAAGTGTGAAAGCATGTACAAGCAGCTTTACCAAAATCACAAAGTTTCTCACCCAATTCAAACCTGACAAAGGCAGAACTACATGTGCAGTAGAGCAAGAATTTCTTTTCAACAGCAGTACTGCTTAAGCAGCCTGTATCCTTTCCATCACTACCTGCTTGGCTGAGACAGTGCTACTATTACAGGGTCACTCAGCAAACAGCATTGGGGAAATGACCTGGTGGAAAAAAATGGAGGAGACACCACTATTTTTCATTCTGTATCACTCATCCAATCCGGTTCACTGTAAATGCACAGTAGCCAGGCAGAAGGAACAAACAGCTGGGACAAAAAGGGGCTTCTTAGGCCAGTATTGGTGTAAAAATGCTGAACACTGAAGTGCGCTTAATTCTGTCACAGAAGGATCTAACAATAGTGTCACACCAATATTAATTCAATAAGACTTCAGAGGGCAATCTGAACCTCTGAAATTTGTGATTTATAACATACCATTTTTATTAAACCTAACCTTTTTATGAAAAGCAACGTGTAACCTCTAAAAAATGTACTACTTTCCTTGTATATAAAGGAACCAAACAGTGTAAAACTCACACCTGACCCATACAGCTAGACAACTTGGGATTTGTTTTTTAAATATTTATTTGTTCATGTAAACTCCAGAATAAAGGCTCTGGATTTTAGGAAGAATCAAACCGACACAACTAGGGGAAGAGAGGTAGAGAGAAGAAATAATATAAAAGTTCAAATACTTGAGATATTTTAGATAATTTGCATATGCTTCTTTTCTTACTCATTGACTAAAAACATTAATTTTAGAAGCACAAACTTAAAATATGTTTTAGTATACCAACCATATAAGGAATCACAAATTAAAGGGGGGAGTGGTTATTTTTATCACTCACTTAATAGTGTCAAGCAAACCAGACACAGTTACGTTTTAACCAGTTTGGAAAAGCAAACTCATGCCACTGTGTTTATATTCCCCTCCCTCAAACAAAAGATGCAGTGAGATGCTATAAGCAGGAGTTGTCCATCCCCTGCAATATCAGCTAAAATACTCGTACCTGTTGGATGGCACTGAACTCTTAGAACCAAGTACTTGCTTCTGTACTGTTTAGTGGCTTCACTGAGTAAAAATGCAATTACCGCAGGGTCCCATTTACATATTCTAGAAAATAATTTTATCCCAAATTCCCATAAGCATGAAGACAACAGAATTCCAGGAAAAGGAAGGGTATTTATGAAACGCAGACACTTTTTTTTTTAATTCTTTCTACGTCAGCTTACAAAAACAGATGTGTGTAACAAACTAATTCTTTTTCAAGTTAACACATATCCTACCTACAATTTCTTTCAAAGGTGGCATCTGATATTCAGGGGGGTTAGTTTTGGTGGTTTGGGTTTCATTTTTTTTTTGGTTTTTCTTTGACACAGCCATTTTACTTGATATATTAAACATGAACAAAACAGTAGCATATGAGTAAAGTCATATTTCAAAGCAGAATATCCATAAGGGCTGTAAACTAGTTTATCCAGGGCAATCTGCTCTCACAGTTGTGAAATGCTTTTCAGAGCTGAGATTTTTCTATAGAGGTCCTCAAAAAGATCGATCATTTAATTTACAAAAACTGTTTCTGTTAGTTGTGGTTGGGAAAAGAACTTCAGATATGCAAAGCAAAACATATGCCACTATATGTTTGCATTCATCTGTTTACAACTTTAGACCTAAAAAAGTCTCAAGACCATATAACTTTCCTACTTCTCCCTGTCTATTTTTCAGACATGAAGCAAGCAACCAAACACAGAATTAAAGGAAAGCCTAGAATTTCCACAAAACCTGCACAAACATCACTCAATTTAAAGATATTTACTACAATCTTGATACTACTACAGCTTACTATTCCTTCCAATTTAGTGGTCATTAACTACTACTTCCAGTATTTGTTGTACCCTTTATTTACAAAACAGACTACTTGTCAGAGACCTGGCAAGAGAAGGTACTCACTACTACTTCCACTTTTTAATCCTAGACTAGAGTTCAGACAGCACTTGTAGTGCTCTGTGAACATGCAATGCCTACTGAAATGCTTTTACCTCTCAAAAACTGCAAGAGCTCAAACATATAGATACGTATAGATAGATACACACACACATGCACACTACATACGTATGGGAGGTAAAGGCAGTTCTTTGCAAATGCAGACTATTTTAACTGCAATGACTTTACACTGATGAAGGCTACAGTTTCTGTCCAAAAGATTGCTAAAAGGTATATACATATATTGAAAAAAAAAAGTGGTATTTTCACAGCTACCACGGTTTCAAACAAAATATTATAACATTCAAGAGACTTCAGCTTTCTAAGTGACCCATCCTTAAGAAATCCAGATGTTACTGCATTTTGACATCATGACTGTTTCCTTAACTGCTTGCTTTTTCTTTTCCCCTTTTAATTCTTCCCTGATGCACACAAAATTCCATATCATGCTGCAATGTACAGGTAACAGTAACCAGGAATTAATAAATTAACAGGCTATCATCATGTTTCAGTAAATACTACTGTAACAGAACTGACCAAAACCAGAGAGAATGTAAAATCTTACTCAGAACACAACAAACTCCATGACAAAAATACTTTATATACTTATATAGATCCCTCGGAAATAATCTGTAGAGCTGCTATCAGATGTCTACATGAAATAAGACTACGTCTCCCTTTCAACTGCCCTGGCACAGTAGTATCTTTAATCTTGAAGGCTTCCAAAATATTTTAATACATGGAGATATGCACATCTATAGTCTTTCAAAAAAAAAAACAAAACAACCAACCATACACAACTGTAAACTGCTGGATAGCTCTGTAAATAGATGATGCTTACTTATAAGACTCCACCTAAGTGGCTTGTTTCAGCTATACACTGCTTTGCATACCTTTTTAAATACTTTTTAATATTTTCAAGCACAACACGAACTAACTGTTCAACTGATTCCCATATGATAGCTCCCATTCACAAATGCAATCACAGAATGGTTTGAGCTGGAAGGAACCTTAAAGCTCACATAGTTCCAATACCCCTACCATGGGCAGGGACACCTTCCACTATACCAGTCTGCTCAATGCCCCATCCAGCCTGGCCTGGAACATTGCTAGGGACAGAGCATTCACAACTTCCTGAAGCAACCTGTGCCAGTGTCTCACCACCCTCACAGTAAAGAATATCTTCCTTATATCTGATCTAAACCTTTGTCTTTCATTATTCAGGATATTTAGTCTGGATAGGCATACACACAGCCAGGTACTCTCCGGTCATATGTTAACCATATGCCTAGGTCTTAAACCAGCCTTCACCCCATAAATCTCCATACCTTCTGCTAAAGCAGGTATAACTGATACAAAAAGTGATAATGCAGAAGCACTGCTGATATCCTTTCCACTTTAACACAATAAATCAGATTTAACTGCCCAAGCTTCAGCTTAGGCTGAAAAACTTGAACTTGTCTACTTCACCTTGTGTCCAAAGAAACTAAATGAACGTGTTTAGGTCTCAAACATCAGAATTCTCCTTAATGCATCTGTCAGACTTCACCCACTTAGATAGGGTTTTCTGAGGACACTTGTTCAGAGAAGATTTTGAGCAACTGCACTTAAAAGGTAACATAAAAGAAATAAATTTCTTCAGTTGAAAATACGTACCTTCATCATCCTAGAAATCCTGCAGAACTCAACGTAAACCTTCTCTAAAAAAATAATAATAATCTCTAGCCCTTAGCTGGCTGAATCCTAAGTCAGCCACAACATCATTCTGATGTTAAACTCACCAGCCACCAGGAAAAAGTACTAAAATTATTATACCCTGAGTGCAATCATTTAAGAAACATGCCATGAAGGACAGCCTCAGCTCAAAGCTTTCTCCTTTTTTTTTATTCTGTCAGGGAAATAGGCAAAACACTGTTTTCTTATCATCAAGTGCTGATTTTTTTTATGCAGGACAAGTTCACAGGCTTCACATTCATACTAAAATAGTCAAACTCAGTACTTCAGAAACAGGGTACACATTGCCTCTCGAGAAAGGCAAGGGGAAGGGACTAATTTAGCATGCTGACAGCAGCACCTAAGACAGTTTTGGCTCAAACAACTATTCCTAAAAGTAACTCTAAACACACTCTTCGAAGTGGAAAGAGATGCTCTTTCTCTATTTGCACAACTCAAAAGTCCCAGTGTGTTATTTCTTTTTCTGCATATCCCAAGCATAGTACTAAAATGAAATATACATGGAATAGCCACACAAGTGTAGTAAATGGGGACAAAACCCACAATTTAAGCTTGTTTCCAGAACTCAGATTTGTCTTTTAATTTTATCTATCAATGTTAAAACACACTAAAAGGGAATTTAAGAATTACAGCTAGGATTTCAGGATATTGACAAAATAACTGGGACCCTAAGCTGGGCAAGAGGAGTTAGAAGTTGTTTAAAGAGGAGGAGTCCCTTATTTCCAAAACTACACATACCACAGCTGCTCTTCCAGCTCTTTTTAACTTGGAAACCAAAAACAAAGGTCCAGCTTTTGTCAGACATGTCAGTACAGAAACACTGTTTAAAAATCTTGTTCAACATGCTTTCAAACAGCAGTTCATATGAAGTTCAACAGCTCTGAAAATTGACAGTGGTCAAGTTCAGGCTCCATGACAACCAGATGCATTCAAAATAGACGGTGAACTGATTTATTTCATTAAACTGAGTTATTTCATTAAAATAAGAATACTCAGGCTGCAACTCCCCAAAAGCCATAGCTGACTTAGATTTGGCTGCTCTTTTCTCACCTACAGCCCTCCTTACCTTCAACCACTGAATGCAGACCAATCTCTTGCACCACATCTGGCATCTGCCTCAGTCCTGCTGAGTCAGTTCTGCAATTTAGCATAATGTAAAATATTCACCTTTTTTGATCAGTTTTCTGCTGACTCTGCACACCTCCAGAGCCCAAGTCCAACTTTCAGCTTCAAAACCTACACAGTAAATAAGAACCTAATTGTTTTTTTTTAGCACTTGCATACAGCTGATACATTTATATTCTGCATAACACTACTTGATCACAGAAAAACTGTATTTGCATTTTTGTGTAGTCTTTGATATTCCGGACCTTTGAAACTCACAGTTCCTAGGTTAGGGCCAGAAGTCCAAATACTTACTGATAACTGGAAGTAAGGTAGCCATGCTCTCAGACTGTGCTGGGGCAATAAACAGAGCATTCTGCTCATAGACGGAGAAAATCATTGTATTAAGCACTATGGGACACAACAAAGTAGTGATCCTTGCCTAAAAACCCCACTATCTAAACAGACTGTGTTTGTCCACAGAAAGACAAAACCAGACAGCTCACAAACTTCAGCTATCTATAATAAGGCTTGCTGTACAGGCTAAGAATACAGTATAAGAGAAGTAAAGAGCAAGATAGCTAAAGTATTTCTGACAGTTCTTGCTAAACTGACACAGAGCACCTTGAAGACCATAGCTAACATCTGGTTTAATATCAACAGTAATAGACCCTACCTCTACTTCAAGAACACAAGTGAAATGTTTACAGGCTTTTCTATATATAGTGTCTGTCATAACAGTCTACATAAATAAATTTGAAGAAATAAATTTAATCAGGCACGCTGACTACAAACTTCTCTGATGTTAGGAAGCAAAATGAACAAAAAAATCCAGCATCCTTACAATTCAGTTCTCAATGTTCCAGCCCAGTTATACATAGAGAGACTTTCACAATATGCTTTAAGTCCTAATTGAAGCTCAGGTTGACTACTACATACACTCAAATACATTTCAGTAAGTGTTGCAAAGTATTTGTACTTCAACATACGAATTAACAAACATGAAGACACAATTTCTCAGATTAAGTCCTTCAGAAAATTAATTTAATTTCATTATTAAAAAATTGGTTAAAGCCCCTTAAATAACTGGAGAATGAGTAGAATATAGTCCCACTGATACAATTTGTTCTCTGTTCCATCTCTACTCCCTTACACTTTTTCCACATATCATTCCTACCTTGGTGGTTGTGCTGTATTGCCATAATTCATATCATATTCTTCCACTGAGAAAATAAACCATTATCCAGGAGCCTGGAAAATGTGTAAGCATTGATAAATCCCAGCAAGTTTCTTCTTCCTCTTCCCTGAAGGTAAGCACACTCATCACTGAATTGGAGAGTCATGCTTCCTTTTCTCCCCCTCTGTCCCATGGTTCTTTGGTTCTTTTTTGTATGATAGTACACACATTACATGGGACTCGAGGACAATTGCCAAAACACCTGAGAAGCCAGGGATCTAGTTATTCTCATTGGAACTGAACATGTGGTTTCAGATTCTTGCCATCTAAGGAGCACACTAAACTGTCAAGAAAGGCAGCAGCCCCCTTCCGTCCTTCCCAACTCTCAGGTCCACAGCTGTGCCCCCTTCCTTGGAAACTTTAGTGTTCCCACTGAATATACAGTAAACTCCATGACCTAATTAAAAACTATTCACATCTTCGTCAGGTTCATCTCCTGCCAGTTTAGGGAACTGACCTGGCTCGGCAAATGGAAGAAAAACTTAAAGCTGGAACAAAAAGTTTAACAGGCCTTTTTGTGCAAAAAGATGCTGGCTCAGTTTATGCCACACAACATAACTTCCAACCAAGTATACGCCTTCACAAGCTGATCACACTCCAGGTTACTGCTAATAAGAAAAGAGCAAGTCACAGACAAAGCTCATCTTCCTGGCGCTTTTCCATCTCATGATGAAACAGCTTAGGTAGCTCAATTAGCAGCAAAGTTTTTTTTTACCTTTACTTACATAGTTAGCTGGTTTTGCTTAGCTTCTTAAGATGGCCCAACATGGAAAAGTAAAGCAAAAATGCCAACAAAGAGGATTTGCAAGTATGCTTAATCAAGGGAGAATGTAGACAGACACAGCCTCTTGTGATCCAATGCAGGCTGCTGTCAAACAGCCATGTCATATTCCCCTGCACCGTCCAGGCACCAGAGTAGGCAGGGGTTGCAATGATGAAGGCTACAAGTCCATCTGCAGCCCCACCTTAATCCCTCTTGGTCTTGCAAACCTCTGAAGCAGGAAACTACTGTAATTTTTGTATCATGCTCATGAGGTAGTCTCGAATGCATGTAACATCACAAGGCACTCTAAAACTATGGTAAAGTCTTCAAAGTGGATCAACAACAACAAAAAATGCACAAATGGGTTTTCCTCTTCTTTTCTTCAATACAGTAAATACATGAATAAAGAGAGATTCCACGTTTTCCTCACATCATTCACTCCGGAACTACAGCCCTAACAGTTCTCAGAATGTAGATTACTGTCAGCTCCAAAAAAATTTTAACAAAATATAAATCATCCCAACATAGTATTTTTTAATTTAACATAATTCAACATGGGCTTAAGTTCCACCTGTAGTTAGTTTACCACAGCCTTATCCCCAGTTAAGGAAACACTGACCTAGAAAACTCTGAAGAATGAGATAAATTAACAAACTTAAGTAAATATTCATATAATCTAGTGATGAAGTCAAAATACCTTCTTTTACAGATTTAAAAATCTGAGGTCTTGTTTTCCTATTTTGTTTGCCTCCATCCCTACTGTTAAGCATAATATTAAAGCAAATCCTGGTATATACCAAGATACTACCACAGAGGTAGTAGGCTGCAAAATTTTGCTGAGTTTTAAATGGTATTATAATCCATTAAGAAGAATTCAAAACCCTGCTTAAGTCAGGTACACGTGTGGATGCATGCACACATAGGGAGACGAGCCAGTACAGACAGTGGGTATACATCAACCAATGAAAGCTTTACCGGGGTACATTCATTACCACATTGAATAGAGTTTTCATCATTCATGGCAGCTCTGTACCCTTACAAACTATTGCTACAGGTAGCTCATTTGAGACTCCCTAACACTTGTTCTAAAAGGAAAAAAAAACCCCACACCACTAAACCCAGAATGTACTTGTTATATTCTAATATGAGCTTCTACAAAACTTTTTTGGAATTTCATCCAGTAATTCCTCATCAAGCCTTCATCAATGTATGGAATATCCCACAAAAGCATTCACAGATGACGAAACCATGACACACTTTCATCAAGTGGAATAGATTGTCCATTACCATGAACCCTGTATTACCTCTTGGCTTATCAATATAGAAGACGACGACTTTCTGGTGTGGAAAAAATTTTATGAATCTAATAAGAGGTTGCAGATACCCTGCCACATGGTAACTCAATCTGAGTTTGATAGCTAAGAGTTCAATTCACACTCACGTTTATAACAAGTTACCTTTTGTCAGCTTATCCTCAGGAACTGACCACATACATAACCCACCTACACATACACACCTCTTTAGCCCACTACAAATGTGACTTTGCTTTCCCTCACACAAAAGAAATAGAAAGTTAAGGCTAAGGATGAAGTAGCACATGATTGCTAAGCCAATCTAATAATTTGCTGCTACCAAAGGAGTGGAAAAAAAAGGAGAGGTATTGGAGAAGGTTCTGTTCTGCCCACATTCATCCTCTTCGCAGTCTTCACTGCTCTAGCTAATTGATCCCAAAGAAAACCAACTTCTTTCAGGTTTGCTTACTGGTTTTCTCATACACACAGATGATGGTAAATTATCTGAATAAATAGGCAAATAGGCTTTTGGGTGGTTTTTTTTGTACGTTCTAAAGGTTTAAATGTTGCAAAGAACTTGGGTCTTTTTTTTTTTTTTTAAACTGTATTATATTATGGCACTGAATGTGTAGTTCAGGCTTAGTCTGTCAACTTGGGATAATGTTGATTTGAATACCTTTTTGAGTACAATCACTATGGAGATGTATGGAATTCATTTCTGAACATTCTCTGACGGCAGTCATAAGAAGAAAGTCTAAAAGAAATCTCTCATCAAGATAAAAGCCCTGGAAAATTCTCTCTCACAGCGAGCCCTTCAGATTAATTTTGACTACCTAGACTTTTAGGATGCCAAACAGAAAAAAAATGACGCTTTGAGACAGTGTATATAAACTTCACCAATTCCAGCAATGAAATACTGGGTATAAATTGATCCATCTAATGCTCTCCAAGTTATCTGTCTTTTGTTCAGGAAGCAGACACTGCTCTAAAACTTTGACAAAATTATCTATTTCAGTAATTCTAGGACATGACAAGATTATGCAACTTTCTGATTATTTAACAGTACCTCTGCCAGCATCAGAAGTTGTTAGGGTTCTGACCAAGAGAGTCTGGTTTCCTGTAGCATTTTTTTTTTCCTAATAAATATTCCTAAAATAATTTTAAGAAGAGGTAGCAGGAAGGAAATGAGGACAAATTAAAAACAAATAAAAAATAAATAAAAAGGCTTTTAAATCCTGACCTTACAGAGCTCCAAACAGTACTCAAGATCACATCTGAGGTATCCAGGAAATAATAAAGCAAAAAAATCCTTCTTGTCCCACTGAAGTCCTTGCAAACTACCGAGAATAGCTCACTAGATGGAAAGATTCCAAAACAAAGCCACTTTTCCAGCAGATCTTCTTCTTTAATTTTCTACTAATATTACTGAACTGGTGCATTTCATGTAATGACGTGCTGTGCTTTTTAACAAAGCTTGCTAGAAAAAAACATAGCTTTCTATACAGACCTGCTGTTTCCTAATTTGTGAAAGAGCTCAACAAGAAGGTCATCAGCGTGATCTGACAGACTCTTGAGGATGAAGCCAGCACAGGTATCCTTAGGAAAAATGCAGTTTTTTCAGATGCATCTGAAATATTATAGCAACATATGAAATCACAGGGGCATAGCAAAAGGGATAAGAAAAGGAAGATTCAAAGCTCATGCCAGGTGCAACAAATGGACCAACTGCAGCCTAACAAGACTCATCTCTATAGTCCTTCATGTGACCAGTGTCCAGTGCACAGCAAAAAGAAAACTCTGATCATGACAATGTAGTCATCAAGACAGTCACAACAGAGAACTCCCTCAAATCATTAATACCATATACTATCCTGAAATATTCTTTTCCAACTTAAGTTAAAGCCACATTTAATGCCTTCAAAACTGGAACTGCCCTCTTCCCCCTATCGCACCCCCCTTCTTTTGATAAAAAATAAACCACCACCTTTGGAAATAAGCCAGAACTCCACACTGCTAATTTGAGACTTCACTTGAACTGAACAGAAAGGAGACTTAATAGCTTCAGAGCTAAGAGAAAGAGATCTCTATGGAGTTCAGTAGTGCTACACTGAATCTATCTGAGGAAACATGGATCCTCACACAGATCTGCAGCCAAGGCCTGATCTTTTTTGCTCAGAGAGATTTTTATTCAAAATACTTCAAGTTAGCTTCATACTGGATTTACAGGAATTAAAGGCATACTTCATTGTATGATTTTGTGTTTAGCAAAGAGCAAGAGACATGCTAACCTATACAGATATCTGCCACAGACAGTGCTTGAAAACACTGAGCAGTCTTCCTCTCTTTCATGAAGGGGTCAAGGAGATGGATGGCATCCTGAAGGGCAACAAAGACAGACAAAGTGGGAAGTTCTGAAATGCCAAATAGTCAACTCAAAGCAAGTTAGGGAAAAAGAGAAACAAGACTTTATGAAAAATACAATGGGTTGCAGAAGAAGGGTATGGGAAGGGGGGAAAAACCGGCACTAAACAT